AAGCTCATGCCAATGGCCTAAGTGGTCATCTTTAATATTAAAAAAAAAAAAAAAAGTGTATTTATAGAGATTATATATATATTTGAGCCAGAATTTGAGTGTGCCTCTAGAGATGGTGTGCAATAATAGAGAGTGCACTGTATAATAATATTCAGATATAAACCAAATATACGCATCAAAATCTCAGAATATAACTTGGAAGTTGTTATAGAGTAATTTATACTGTTTCTTATTAAATACTGTAACTTGTCTATTTCTTGTAAGATTCTTATTAATTTTCAATTGCCTTCTGGTATTTAATTCACGATGGTTAATTTCTATGTTTATCAATGTGTGCGCGATGAATGTCTTATCTCTCCACTTATCCAAGCATTTGAAAGTATGCTATGTCGAGGTGCATTTACATAAGGTTGTTTTGATAATCTTAGATAAATCTAATTAGGCTTGTACATATTAACTTAATGCCATTGATCATGTTTAATTTTATTAATTTTAGTAAATATTTGTTTTAATTTTAGATAAAATTCTGTTAATTTATGAATAGCGTCTACTATTAAGTTTCCTTTTTTTATTTTTAATGCACCACAAGTCTTTAGTTATAAATACATCTTTAGTTGGCTCAATTCAACTATTTTTTCTATGCCTATAACTATGATTTTGATTATTTTCCTGGTAAGTTCGATATTTCTAAATTTTTCTAACAGTTTACTCAAAAAATCTTCACAAAATATCTTCTACATAGGGTTCATTAGCCCTAGGAACTATAATTGGATCATGTTTTGCAATAAATGAATGAATTAGGTTGGTTAGGATTGATGTTACGTTGCTAAGGATTCTTCGAATTACTTTTTCTTGGCATTTTCAGTGAAGTGTATGTAGTTTAATTTTCTATTTTTCTTTATATCTCTCTTTAATTATGTGAATTACTAATAATCACTGATACTTACTATATTGTGTGGTCATGAAATTCTCATAGGTAAGTAGCTTTACAATTACTTAATACAAACAAAGTATTGGTTTTGTTATTTAATGATTTACTTAATTCAGGAAGTGGTTAATTTACGATTACCTCATTTATTTAGATACACTATTTGGTTTTACCTTTAATGTTTACTTTAAATATAGAACAGATATATATTCATTCAATGAGTTACTATATGATTGCTTAACGCAAAAAAATTTTTTTGTGGTTTATTGTTTGGTGCTTAGGTAGCTGCGCAACACAATTGTGAAACCAGGAACAGAGAATACTGTATATGATATTTCTGAGTTGTGTCAGACTTTAGGTGCCAACATAATACCATAACTTGTGTAATTATAATAAGCTATGCCATTTTTGCCGATAATTTATTATATCATAATTACAATTTATGGTATATATCCCAAATTTAAAAGCCATGATAATAAATGGTAGTTTTCACATTTAAGTCAATAATGAGGCAAGGAGATTTAACTTATTATCACAATGTTATAGAATAATGTTTCATAGAACACACAATATCTAATTAAAAAACATATAGTTTTTATGATTCTCGATCAGAATTCTTTTTTAAACCATTGATTAGTATCTTAAACTTACGCATAGTAAAGATATGTAAAAAAAACTTTACAAGCATATAAATACAAAAATTCCAGAAAGTGATATCTAATCAGATGCAAAGAATAAAATGCATCATTTCACTCACCGTTAAATCATACTCTTCGTTGTGCTTAGTTTCTGGTATTTTAACTTAGGATTTAACATACAAGAAAAAAACAGATTTCTAACTTCACGCAGGTATGATCAAAGCTTAAAATAGAAAATTCATACGATATAATACACAAATTGTAAAACCAAGAATAAAACAGGTAAAAAATCGCGATGACAAAGCAAGGAAAATTAAATATAATGTATATAATTTTTTGATCATTGAGCAACAAAAAAATGCATAAATATAGAAACCCCAAATTGAAGTCATGAGAATAAATCATTCTAGTAAGCCATACTATTCGTTGCACCCCATTTATGATATTGCACGCATCATTTCAGATGTTGTTAACTATGCTCTTCATTGCATTCCATTTCCTAGTAAACAGAAAGTTTATACTAGTATAAATAGAAAATTTGTGCGAATGCGCAATTAGATGTATTTACCTGATGTTCAAATAGTTAGTAATGAAGATCCAAATGGTAATGTGCCAAAGAAAAACACTAGTGGAATGAACAATCTCAGATTTCATTATAGTGAGGGAATAGATGTTAAAAAGGATGAATACAAGGCATTTCATAAGAGAAGGAAATAAGTTGCTTGATCATTATCAAAAATCTATTGATACATGTGATGTTGATGGAAATGTATCTAACCTATCTATCTTCATGCATCTCATTGGGCATAAAAATTTATTCACATTTTGGAATATTTCAAAAGTGTATTTAGAATCAACTTATATTGACTCTAAATCTACCAAGATTCCATTCTAATATAAAACATAAATAAAAATTCTTTATATTATACAGTAATTTGAAGTGAAATTAAATTGAATAAAAAATTTATTAGATTAATAAATTTTTTACACTTATTGCACTATTAGATTAGTAAATACTCATATATTCACATATTATATTATCTCAATTAACATTTTAAATATGTAAAATAATCAATAATTTTATATTCATCTCTTATGCAAGCAGATTAGTATCGATAAATAACGGTATTGATTCAAATCCCCTACCAATTTCTATCGAATATAGTTATAATCGATATATAACCAATAATGATATCAATCGAAATATATTAGTAATCATTACAAATAGATATCATACACTTGTATTTAACCTGATTTTTAATGATTAAAAGAAACCAAATAATTTTTGTACATTTACAAATTTGTTATATTTCGACCCTTATAAAAATCCAACCATCAACTACAATCACTACAGGAAGACTTTATATCGACACATTTTGTTTTTTCATCGACTCAATGTTGAGATTCCAGTATTCAAAATTTAACGTTCTCTAACGAAGCAATACTACAAAATAAAAAATATTAGTTAAAAGAATGAAAAAAAAAGAAAAGAAACAAAACTATGAACTGGTACTTATATTCATTCCAGTTCTAGTTCCTTTTCGGTCAAGATCTCAATTCCCCAGGTTCTAAAACAACGTTCCTGATTCACTTTATCCATTCCCAGTGAAGCACTACCCGCAAAAAAAGAATTTATTAGATTAGAAGAAACAAGAAAAAAAAAAAAAAAACTTCGAAGGTGGTACTTAAAATAAATTATCAAGATCAGTTATCTGTATGTACATATGTACATATGTAGATTGTGAAATAAAAAAGACTGGTACTTAACGTAAAGACCAGTCTCGTCTTAATTCATCCTGAAATAAGACTTAAAAAGAGAAGAGTTATTTTTCACGAATTGAGAAAAAAAAAAAAAAGAAACTGCTACTTAAAGTAAAGACCAATCCCGTCTCAATTCACATCCCAAAACAAGACTTAAAAGAAGAAGAGTTAGTTTTCATTAATTGAAAAAAAAGAAAAAAAAGAGACTGGTAATTAATGTAAAGACCAGCCCCTGTCTCAATTCACGTTCCGAAACAAAATCTAAAAATAGGGGTTATTTTCTACGAGTTAAAAAAAAAAAAAAAAAAAAAAAGAAACTGATACCTGTGAATTATTCATAAATAAATATCTGTATAGTTTATTTTATTAAAATTCTTTACAGATATTTATAAATATAAAATTCTGCACAGTTTATTCTTTAAAGTTTTTTTACAGATATTTGTAAATATAAAGTTCTGTACAAATTTTTAATTAAACTTTTTTAATGATCGCTAATAAGGTTGCAGATCTTCATAGTTTTTATATAATTAATTTTTTAAAAAATCTGTGCAAATCTACATTAAAAAATTTTTCCTGACATGTGTGTTGGAAGAGTTGTTTGTTAGTAATAAAAGAGTATTAAGAAGTGTGATAGGTTGAATAGATGTAATTTAAAGTTGTTGAAATATATTAGTAGTTATATTAATAAGTGATTGCTGAATGTTTTTAGTATTTTTGAAGTGCAGAAGTATATGAAGAGAGTCTTCGATTAGGGGGCATTTACAATATTTGTTTGTTGTATATAGATTTGAATAGCAAATATTGAGATTTTGCATTGTTGGAAGATTATTTGTTAGGATTTTAATATAAAAGGAATATTTATGAGAGCCGTATTCTAAGGAGTTAAGTAATTTAAAAGTTAGGTTTCAATTTATATCTGATGTGTAGTTGTTAAAGAGTTTAAGGGATGACCAGCATATAAGTTTTTGAATTGTAATAATGTTTTTGATAAAAGAACATACTTTAAATATAATAATATAATTGTTCCAAGAGAAGTAGGTAGGAAGGTTAAAGTATGTGTGAGAGATTGTTTGAAGGGTTTGGCGGTATTTTGTTTGGCCAGTAGATTAGCTTGATTGTGAAGAGAATTGGTTAAATGTAATTTGACTTTGATAAGATCAATAGAGATATTTTTAGTAAATTTAATTGAGTTAATTATAGAGATTATATCTTAGCTTTTAACTTGAATTAGTTTTGAGGTAGGAAAGTTGAGTAAGGATTTAATTGCAATCAAGCTATCTGTAAGGATAGTAACCATCAAATTGATTAGAATAACAAGTAGAAGAAGAATAATTGCTGATAGCTCAGCATGGGAAGAGTTAGGTGAAGAAGTAATTGTTGCATTGAACTTAATAGATGAATTGTTTTTATAGATCCATCCTATGCTAGTTTGTATATTTGTAGTTTGAAATTTTTTGATAAAGGCATCTGTGGCAAATTAAAGGTTAGCTAAGTTTAAATCTAATATATTGTTATATATTTGGATATGTTGATTTTGATAGTAAGAAGATTCAATAATATGATGTATTAAGTGTATTTCATGAAAAAGAATTAGAGCTGCAGACATTTAGAAGGTCCAAGGTAGTACATTACTCTTTACATCATATAAAATTTATATATAATCATATTAAACAGCATGTTACTACATCACGTCAAATGTCATAGTATATGTTCATTGATATTCTAATATCTGCAGCTCTAAAAAGAATATTAATTTGTGGCTGGCAAAGAGAAAAGATTGGGGGTGGTTTAAGATTATTAGTAATGTCAATAATGGCAAGAATTTCTCTGTAATCAATTTGTAATAAAGAATTTTTAACTTGATTTGTTTGTATGAAAGGTTTATAGGCTTGGAGTTTGGTAATAGGTTAACAGATTCTATTAAGTTTATTTGGCTTTCGAGTGGTTCTGCTAATTGATAAATTTTATAACTTAAGATTTCTTTATATTTGTTATGATGTAGAAAAGTAATATCTTGATTGTTAGAAAGAAGTTAAATTAAAAAATTGGTGTCCATGGAGGGTATTAAGTCAGTTGTATTAATAAAGCTATTTATTGAAAGTAGTTGAAGTTGGGCTATATAGCCTGAAGAAAGTTGGTTTGTGTTATTTGTAGAAGGTGAGTAACCATAAAGGTTGATGATCTCTAGTTGCTTTGTTCGTACAAAGATAAATATTATTCCAAGGGAGTAAAGAATTGTTATTTGCTATTATAATTTGTTTTATAAATAGAATTTTGTTATTTTTGAGACTATTGAGTATAAGATTATTAGGATAGAAGGAAGTATATTGTAAATTAAGTGTGTGCGTTTAGGAACAAAAGTAGGATAACTAGTAATTAAAGAGAGTAAAAAGATTGTTATATTATTTCTCGCTAGTTGAGCAAGGTGAAAGAGAAGAGTATAGTTTTACAAAAATGTATAAGCAATGTTTCTTCAGTGAGTTTTAGATACCAAATTTTTAATAGCCAGGTTTAATTTGAAGAATACCAATATTATGAAGAAGTGAGGAGGTATTAAAAGTGTGTTCAGTATTAGATATGCTAACTTTTTGAATTATATTATTAAGAGTAGATAGATTGAAAGTGAGTGGGTTGGTAAGTTAATATTTTTGGCTAAGGAGAGCATTTTTTTTGTTTGTATAGATAGTAGTCAAGAAAGTTTAGTTTGTATATTTTTTTGGATAGGTGTGATTTGAAGAAGGTATTCTAAAGAAAATTGCAATATGTGATTGAAAAGTGAGGAAATTTGAAAGAGTTGAAGTTTTTTGTATCTAATAAGAAGTAGGAAATTTTCTATTTTGTTGTATAGTATATCAAGAGTTGGTTTGGTTGATCTTTTACTATCAGATATCTAATTACATCTTCAGATTTTTTGGGAATAATTATTCGGTTGTTGTAGGTGAATGTATAATTTGTTACTTTAGAGTTTTTAGAAAGAATATAAAGTAGATCAGACTTAGTTAGGTTAACTTTGATATTGTTAAGTTTGTATAGTATAGAGGCATCATTGAGGATATTTTATAAAGTTTCTGGGTATTCACAATACTATACAGTATCATCTATATGTGGAATTGTAATAGTAGTTGGGGATGTGTTTGAAATTATGTCAAGCAGAGAAGATAATGAGATTTTAAAAAAGTGATTATTGTATTTTTGAGATATATAGATAAGAATAAAATCATAGTAAATTTTCTATAAAAGAGAAAAGTAAGTTTCTTCTTGTTTAATATCAGAATTGATTTGAATTAATTATGTTAAACTATAAGCCGTAATTACTTCAGCTAGTCGAGAGATATATAATTCAGTTATTAGTTTGATATCAAGAGCAGGAATACCAATTCTATAGCAAGCATCTTGTAGCTGTTTAATATTAATTCTATCAAAGGCTTTGGACATGTCTTGAAACAATATCTATACCTTTTTGTTTTAAGAGATATAATATTTGATAGTATTATAAAGAATTTGAATTGAAGTATGTGTTAAAAAATTTTTTAATACTGCAAAGTTTAGGTTAAAAAGAAGGTTGTTTGATGAAATTATTTTGTCCAGATGATTGATAAAAATTTTTATAAAGATCTTTTTGAGAGGTTTGATAATGAATATAGATCGGACTTGGTTAAGTGTGAAATCCTAGTTAGCTTTTTTTGGAATAAGAAAAATATTTAAAAATTTCTATTCTGTTGAAGTTTTTTGTAATTGGAGATATTTGATAATAAAAGATTTAAGAATATTTTGTGCTAAAAGGCTAGCATGTTTAATATATTTATAGCATATTTCTAAGAGCTCTACTGCTTTTTGGTTTGGGAGATTAAAAATTATTTTAGACCATTTCTGATTTGTAATTGTTTCAAACAGTTCATTATAGTTAGATTCAAGTTCAGGATGTGGTTAGTAAAGTTGTTGGAAGTCAGAGAGAA